ACATCACATTATCTGACCTTTTCCGCTTGACTCATACATATTCTTGATTATAACCATTCTAACTGGGGTGAGGTGGAATCTCACTGTTGTTTTGATTTGCATTTCTTTTATGGCTAGAGAGGTTGAGCATTTCTTCATGTGTCTATTGGCCATTCTTATTTCCTCTTCTGAGAAATTTCTCTTTAAATCTTTAGCCCACTTATTTATCGGGCAGTTGTTTCTTTAAGGATTTGTTGTTGGGGGATTTAATATTTTGAGTTCCAGGTATATTTTAGATATGCGACCCTTGTCCATTGTATGGCTAATAAAGATCTTCTCCCAATCTGTGGGCTTTCTATTGATCTTTCTAGTTATGTTCTTTGCCATGCAGAAGCTCTGAAGCTTCATGCAATTCTATTTGTCCAACCTTTCTTTGATTTGTTGTGTTTCTGAGTCTCTATTAAGAAAATTTCGGCCTGAGTCAAGGAGACCTAGGGTTTCTCCTATTCCATCCTGTAATGTTTTCAGGGTGTCTGCTTTTACTTTGGGGTCTTTGATCCATTTGGAGTTGATTCTGGTGCAGTGTGATATATGAGGATCTAGCTTTAGTTTTCTACAGATGCTTAACCAGTTTTGCCAGCACCATTTACTGAAGAGATTGTCTTTCTTTCATTCTATTTTTTTAGCTCCCTAATCACAGATTAGGTGGCTATAGGTCTGTGGGTTCATTTCTGGGTTTTCAATTCTATTCCATTGATCCTGAGGTCTGTTCTTGTGCCTGTAACAAGCTGTTTTGATTACTATGGCTTTATAGCAAAGTTTGAAATTCGGTATTGATATTCCTCCAGCACTGTTTTTACTGTTAAGGATCGTTTTTGCTGTTCGGGGTCTTTTATTGTTCCATATGAATTTTTGGCTTGCCTCTTCTATTTCCTTGAAGAATGAGGTTGGAATATTGATTGGTATGGCATTGAATTTGTAAATAGCCTTGGAAAGTATTGCCTATTTCCCAATGTTGATCCTTCCAATCCAGGAGCATGGGAGGTTTTTCCACTTTCTAAGTTCTGCTTTGATTTCTTTTTTCAGGTTTTTAAAGTTTTCATCATAGAAGTCCTTCCCTTCTTTAGTTAATTCCTAGGTATTTTAATTTTTGTGAGGTATTACAAAATGAGTTGCTTTCCTGATTTCAGCCATGCTCTTCTCATTGTTGGCATACAGAAAAGCCATTGATTTTTGAGGGTTAATTGTATACCCTGCTACTTTGCCAAAGTTTTGAATAAGCTTGAGTAATTTGGGAGTGGGGTATGTGGGATTCTTTAAATACAAGATCATGTCATCTGAAAAGAGGGAGAGTTTTACTTCATCTTTCCCTACTTGGATCCCCTTTATGTTTGCATCTTGTCTTATTTGTGTGTCTATTGCTGTAGCTAGGCATTCTAATACTAAATTGAAGAGAAGTGGAGAGAGTGGGCATCCTTGTCTTGTTCCTGAGTTAAGAGGAAATGGCTTTAGTTTTTCACCATTAAGTATAATGCTGGCTGTAGGTTTGTCATATACAGCCTTTATTGTATGGAGGAATGTTCCATGGATTCCTAATTTTTCCAGAGTTTTCATCATAAAGGGGTGTTGGATCTTGTCAAATGCTTTTTCTGCATCTATTGAAATAACCTTGTGGTTCTTATCCTTGCTCTTGTTGATGTGATGAATTATATCTCCAATTAACCACCAGAAAACCAGTAGTGGTGCTATGGATCAAGCAGTAGAGCACTTGCCTTGAGCTGAAGAGCTGAGGGACAGCACCCAGGCCCAGAGTTCAAGCCCTATGACCAATGGAAAAAACAAACAAAAGAAGTGTAAGGCCTCTATGATGAAAACTTAAAAAACTTGGAAAAGGAAATTAAAGCCTGCTCCTGGATTGGGAGGATTAACATCATGTGATACTCATTGATATCCCAACTTTATTCTTCAACAAAATAGAAGAAGCAATCTAAAAATTCATATGGAACAATAAAAGACCCTGAATAGCAGAACAATCCTTAGCAGAAAGAACAATTCAGGAGGAATATCAAAACCAAACTTCAAACTCTACTATAAAGCCATAGTAATAAAAACAATTTGGTACTGGCACAAGAACAGACATCAGGACCATTGGAATAGAACTGAAAACCCACAAATTAACCCACAGACCTGTAGCCACCTAATCTTTGATAAGGAAGCCAAAAAAATAGAATGGAAAAAAGCCTCTTCAGTAAATGGTACTGGCAAATTGGTTAAACACCTGTAGAAAACTAAAGTTAGATCCTTATATATCATCCTGCACCAGAATCAACTCCATATGGATCAAAGACCTCGAAGTAAAATCATCTGTACTTTTTTAATCTGAAAAGTTGTGGTGTGTGTGTGTGTGCACGCATGAACCAGTACTGGGACTTGAACTCAGGGCATTGTCCCTTAGTTTTTTCCTTCAATGCTATGCTTTACCAGTTTAACTATAGCTCCACATCTACCTTGTTGCTGGTTAATGGAAATAGGAGTCTCATGATTTTCATCCTCCTCAGTAGGTAGGATCACAGGTTTGATCCACCAGGGCCTGGCACTAAAATATGTCTTTAAAAACACATTTTCTTTTGGCAGAGGCTTAACCATAATGAGGAAACTCCTCTTGCTGAAGCAGCAAAGCTCTACTGGATGTTTGTAAAAGAGCAAGCAACCTGGAATTCTTGGTGTGATCATCACTTTGCTACTTTATGGCCTTCTGTTCATCATCTCTTCCTTGATTTTATATTTGTACTGTCTCAGGTAAGGCAGTTCTATTATTTGTCATTCTGAGTAGTGTTAGTCCTTTCTTGCTATCAGTTAAATTATGATAATGTGATAATATGGTTAAAGAAAGGAAGTTAGAGCCATCTCTGCATTATTTAGATAGAAATTGCCAGGAGTATGTGCATAGTTCGGGTCATAGAAACAATTAAGCAACTGTATTAAAAGTATTTTTTCTATAGTAGAGAGTGCTGTGAATTATTGTATTTGTTTCTGTAAGAATCAAAAGTAACCTCTTGATATCCAAAGGACATTTCAGGGAATTTCCTGGGAACCTTAGCTATGACTCTTTTTCTACTCCTTCCAACTTGCTTTCTTTTTATATCTCTTGTCTGCCACGAATCTCACTAAATTCCTCTTTGATTCTGGTAATCCAAGGATTTGGCATAGCAGATCATAAATTTAACAAGTAAAGTGTGTGTATGAAGAAGGACCTCATAAGAAATAGGATTGCACATGCAGACCACCATGTCTGGATGTAATCCAATTGGATAATGGTCCAATCCAATGGTATATGAATCCAACTGAATTAGTTTGCATGTGGGTACCCAATTTTCCTAGCATTCTTTCCCCAGCATTATTATTGTATGTTGATTGGTTTCTGGGCCCTCTATTCTATATTGTTTGTCTGTATCTTTCCCCTTAGTTGGTGCCATGTTCTTTTGGCTTCTGCAGCTTTGTGATATAGTTCATCAATTCTACTTTTGAGCATTCAACAGAAAGATTTGACTTTAGGATTTCAAAGGCTTTGCCATGCTCATTGCAACTCTGCTCACAATATCCAAACTGTGGAAACCACCCAAATATCCAGCAAAAGGGGAATGATTAATGAATTGAAAATATACAGCAGAATATTTCAGAAAGAAATTCTCCAATAGTAAACAACATGATGGACATTGAGAGGAATCAGTCACAGAAGGACACACACTCGGGGGTTCTAGTTAGGTGAGGTCTTGAAAGTATTACAGATCACCGAGAATGGTGACTGTCAGAGAATGAGGTCGGGAAAGTGGGGAATTGGCATTCATATGATATAATGGATATTTCTGGGGGTAAATATGCAGAAGTAGTTGGACTAGATCTCAGGGAACTCAGTATAGACTATGCATTCATGGAGCTATGCATTTATGGAATTAACTGCTAACACAGGATAGAGGTATATTGCAGAGAGGTAACAGAGCACAGGAAGAAAGCAAAGGCTCAATAGTTTACCTAAATTTTCTTTCCTCACAGAACTATGCATGAATGGGAAGAGTTAGGAAAAGATCTCCTAATCACAGTGGCTTTAAAAAGTGGGTTCAAACCTATTTTATGGCAGCAATGAAAATTCAACCGAAGAGAGAAATATTGAAAATCCCCTAGATGAAGAGGATAGTTGACAAAAGTTTATGTAAAGATGAGATAAATTGTTGGTTTGAGTTTTCTCCAATTTGTTGACATAGCTCCTTAGTAGATGAATGAATGGATCAAGAAATTGTGGTACATATACATAATGGAATCCTATGCTTCCATCAGGAAGAATAACATTGTTCCATTCATAAGAAAATGGAAAGACTTGAAAAAAATTACATTCAGTGAAGTAAGCCAGACCCAAAGAAAAGCAGGTCGCATGATCTCCCTCATTTGTAAGAACTTGAATATGCATATGATATTCTTAGCAGAGGATCTTAATAACCCAAGTGCTTAGTGCAAAGACCTATATATAATAAAGCATATTAACATGAACTATAACTTATGGAAACAAGAGGTTCTCATTAGACCCTGTATATAGTTTGTTCTTTTTTCTCTATTGTTTTTTTCTTTCTTCATTTCTCTTAGTTTTCTGTACCTTGTGTTTTGCATAATAGACAATGCAACATGTGAAAGAGAAAGGGAATCACAGAAACAGCAGAACAATGGATGAACCACAGCAACATTGATACTTGACACTATGTTGGATATGAACATTACATCTTGGGGGGCATAGGGAGGGATAAGTGGAAGATAAAGAGGGATGTGGTAACAATAATTAAAAACAAATGTTCTTATTGCCTTACCTATGGAACTGGAACTCTCCAGCTCTTCACATTTTCAATAAAAACTAATAAAAAATGAGATAGAATACAAGAAGAGGCAACTTTCTGCTTTGGAGGAAGATACGTTTTGTAATAAGGCAAGGTAGAAAGCTGAATGAAGGTTTGGGGCAGACAGGGAAGGATATTTACATATGGTCATCATTGAGGTAAACTCACTGAAGTCTCTCTAACGTGGATTGGTCTTTTTTTTTTTTTGATGCATCCCTTGGGTCACTAGCTGAGCTGTAGTAAAAGTGTCCATTTCCTCAGGGAATGTGTGTGTGGCCTGGACCCAGGCTTGGTTTATATTTTGACATGTCATAAGTGCTGTATGTCATCCAGGGCACTGACTGCCCTGGGGAAAGAAAGTCTTCCCTGAGCATTCAGTTTACATTTGGCCACACACTTGTAGTGTGGCTTAAGGCAATGTTGTTCATTTTCTAGATGTTAGGCATTTTCTTGTATAAGATGCCAAAAGTAACACCTATGTGTAGATTTCATACGAATCTCCTAATGGATAATCATTGTACTATTCGAAAGGGCTAGAGTTTCCCAGAGACGTTATAGAAGTAAAAGAGTAGGTTTTGTAGTATAGACAAGTAAGTAAAATATTACTAGATATTATCTAGTAATGTTATGTCATTTATTCCCACATTAGCACATCTCTTCTCATTCAGAATAAAATGAACATGTACAAACACATTATTCTTTGTCAGATATCTGCATCTTAATTATTTATATTGCATGTAGAGTAGAAAGAGTAAGCAAATAATTAATGTCACATAATCAGGGCCCAATCTTTCACTCTGTAAAGTAAATCAGTGTTTGCTTTAAAATGCTAAAAAGCTTGGCTCATGGAGAAGTGTAGGTAGGAGTGGTGAGAAGCTCAATAATGGGTGGGAAATGATTAAGAAGATAAAAAGACAAACTGATTGCAGCATCTGGGCATTAGAGAAAGTAACCCTAGAATCAATCAGCTTGTGCACTTGCTATGTTTTGACCTCCACACTTAGCTTGACCTAACAGAACTGGCTTTGCTGTTGCTGATAATGAAAAAATTAAAAGGGTTTGAACTCACAGCTTTGCGTCCTACTTACTAGGCTGGTATTCTACCACTTGAGCCATGTCCCTGGCCTGGCATTATTTTTATTGGTCCTTGGGCTTGAACTCAGGGCCTAGACTATGTCCCTGAGTCTCTTTGTGCTCAAGGCTGGCGCTGTACCACTTGAGCCACAATGACGCTTCTGGCTTTTTTTGAGAAGTTCATTGGAGATAGGAGTCTCACAGACTTTCCTGCCTGTGCTGGCTTTGAACCATGATCCTCAAATCTCAGCCTCCTGAGGAACTAGGATTACAGGTGGCATCCATCTGGGTCTGGCTCTTTGGCTGGCTAATTAAAGATGTAGTCTTACGGACTTTTCTACCCCATTTGCTTTGAATCTTGATCCTCTAGATCTCAGCCTCTAGATCTCAGCCTCCTGAGTAGCTAGGATTATAGATATAAGGCACTGTTTCCCAGCTTGTCTTATTTTTAACAATTCACATATGGTAAAGTCTTTTATTGTTTTATGATTCATTAAAATATCTTCCACATTTTGACATTTTACAACAATTTTATTTTTATACAGTTTTTTTTGGGGGGGTTGGTCATGGGGCTTGAACTCTGGGCCTGGGTGCTGTCCCTCAGCTCTTCAGCTCAAGGTTAGCGCTCTACCACTTGAGCCACAATACCATTGCTGGTTTTCTGATGTTTTATTGGAGATAAGTGTCCCACGGACTTTCCTGCCTGGGCTGGCTTTGAACTGTTATCCTCAGATCTCAGCCTCCTGAGTAGCTAGGATTACAGGTGTGAGCCACTGGTGGCTGGCTTTTTATACAGTTGGACTTCTACTTTGAAAACAAACAAACAAACAAAAAACATTGAACTGCCTGCCATGGTAATGCATGCAGCTACTTGGGAGGTAAAGTTGGGAAGATGATAGTTTTAGTTCTGTCCAGGCAAAAAATTTCAACAAATGAGTCCTAGGTGGGTGGTATAGGTACAAGGATGATGATTTGAGTTTGATCCAGGCAAAAAGCATTGAAACTATCTCATCATAACTAAAAACAATGGGCTAGCAGAATAGATCTACCTATGAAATGAAGGCCCTAGGTCTAGTATTCCTGTACTGCCAAACACACACACACACACACACACACACACACACACACACACACACACACACACACACATACACACATACACACACACACACACACACACACACAGTATTAGCTGTGGATAGATCTAAAAGGAACATCATTTTATCTTTCTTTTCTTGGTCTTCATTGTGGATAAACAAAATCGATGGCATCTCTAGGTAATCATTTACCATGTTCTCTTACTAAATTATAAAACGAAAATTAATCATTTTTATATTTGTAATGTGATGTACAGGGTAAACTTTCTCTTAGAGCTTCTTGTGAAAAACTGATCTGTTAATGAAATGTTTAGAAATGACCATATCTAGGTATTGGCACAAAGGAGACTCCGTGAGGCCCATTACTACTGGTAGTGTTTGGCCCAAGGCTTTCCTTCCAAACACAGACTCCACTGATATCCTACACTAATTACAAAATTACCCAAACAGTACTGAAGATCTACAGGCTGTTTACATATGTTTTATAATATGCAGAGAATGAGATATCACACTTTAAATGTCAGTTAGATTTGTTTAGGCTTTCATATTCCTGGGAGCTGTACACAAATTTAAAAGACTGGTAGTCAAGTTAATTAGTTTTTTGAGCGTGCTTACATCTTCCTAATCGTTGACTTAATAGTTCCAAATAGCCTTATAAGTTTTAGCTGCTGTCATTTATTACTGAAGAAAATTAATTTAGATTCAAATAACTTAAAGACAGGTTTTGATGAGAATATTATGAGCA